ACGCTGCTGCACTGGGTGGAGCAGCAGCCCCGCGCCGGCAGCTGGTCACGTTCTTTATGATCCTTTGTAGGAAGGGTGTTCTTGGGGTTTTATGGTTATTTTCTCTTGATCATTTGAGTGCAGCTGTGTTTAATGAGCTGGAAAAGAAGTAGGTCAATAAAACATGTGTTCGTTGTTAGCAGACTACCTGTTGGACCACGTGTGTGTCTGTAATTGACCATCTAAAGCTTCAAAGCTTAGCACAAAGACAATTTAATAGGGAATTCATACCTAAATAAATTAATATTAAGCAGAAGCAGACAGCTGGCAGGCATCATGCCCTGCCAAGGTGAGACTGTGGGTATTTAATGCACAGACAAGTTATGATTTCAAGTCTGACCTATTTTTAAGTCTCTCTCATTGATATGCATTAAAAACCAGCACGCCAAAAATAGTTTAGAAGTTGTGTGCTTTAAAGCCAACACAACTGATAACATAGCCATGTAAGTAGGTTAAAATTTTAAATTATTTCAACCTAAGGGCATTACATGAACTTGACGTTAAAGTAATATTGCTGCCAGTGTCCGAGCTTGAGGTGTTTTAGAATGTTTTCTTTGATAGCACCAGTGGTAGAAACAGTGTGTTTACTGGGATTTAATAAAGAAAAGACGGCTGCATCATCACATGACTCCAAAATCTGGAGCTTTAAGACAAGTATCAAAAAATGAGTTGAAACCATTATGGAGCTTTATGATAAAGCATTGAAATAAATACGAATTTTGTATTAGCCAGGGATTTGGTCCAAATTCTCTAGACCAAATTTTTCTAAAGAATTATGAGGCAAAACCTGAAAACTGAATTGCATTTTTTACCTAAGCCAACAACTAAACAAAGAACAGAAACATGCAGAATAATTGTGTTTCCAGTAATTTTGCCATTATCAAAAATCCAAAGTACAGACATGAAGAAGAGTTATGTTGCAGACTTTATTCATCATAGACTTTGAATTCTTTCTGTTCTTTGTCTTGTAACAAAAAAATGCACCAAAAGCTGATGAGACTAATTAATGTAGGATCTATTACGATCTAATTGCTCATGTGCTTTTTGTGAAAAGATCTCTTATTCATGGAGGCGCTTGTTTGCCTAAGAAATGCAGCTGCTGCTGTTTCAGGGGCTTGGGCTGGTTAAAAGTAAATAGCAGCATTAAAATTCTCAGATTGATTTCCTGCCTTATTTAGTCAGCTGGGAAATGGATTAGGCTCCTCTTTCCTTGGTAGCTTCAGGGTCAAAATATTTTTTCCAGTGTTTTTTGAGATCCAGTACCAAATTCAGTTCCCGCTGTGAAATCGGATTTACTGAGGTGTGAAGGCCCGGTTTCTTGATTGTATTTGGGAGCTCGACAGCCAGTGAAACTGCTGGGAATTGTCCTCAGACCTTCAAAGCTTATAGATGCCTTTTTCATACCTTCAAAGCTTATAGATGCCTTTTTCATACCAAGTGGTCTGAATCCGCATGGCAGCAGCGGTGTCCTGGCTGTTCCCTGGCAGGTCCGGTGCTGCCAAGTGGTGTTCCCTTCCTGCCACCAACCATCAGCTCCATAAACAACTGAACCTGCGGCATGGAAAATCCATTGCAAATTGGGAAAGTCTTAGTAGGCACTAAAAAAAGCAATCAAACCTGATCATAGTGCCTTTCACCAGGAGGAAAGAGAGAGTGCCTGGAGTTCCCTGGGGAATCAGCTGTCGCTAATGAATCTTCATGGAAACCACTGGGAGCATCGTTACAGAAAAAGAGATGCTGTGGGATTTGCCATAGGATTTGCCGGTGGGGACTTACAGTGGAACTCATGAGTTAGGCTGCCATTTGCTATTTAACTGTAATGGCAAATGAGAGCCTGTTACCCTTGAATTCCTTTGAATAGCCCAGGCCTGGTATACTTAGCACTGGTTTTTAGGTGTCTGCCTGTGCTTTGCATTATGCATGAGTGCCAGTGGGGGGATTAAATACACTAGCTCTGCCACTTCAAATAGCTTTGGCCTGAAGTTGATGTGTCAGCTGTCAGTCCAGATGAACTAGGTCTAAAAAACGGTACCAGTTATTATAAAGAAATGGTAAAACCAAATACTAACTCTCTATATTATTTTCAGAGGAGTAATCATTTTGAGACTCTTTAACATATTTCTTGCTAAAAGCGATGTAACTCTCTCTTCATCCAATGAAATTTTATTTTGTAAAGAGGGCCAACATGTGACACAGATCTCTGAATGTCACAGCAAATTAATTCAGTGTATATATGCAGTTTCTGCAAAATCCATGTAGCGAGTTCCCCCAAAACCTCCCCTCCTTTTTTTTTTTTTTTTTTTTTTTCCCATCTTTTTTTTTTGTGTGGAAACAGCTGGGAAGGAAAAAACCTAAAGCATCCAACCCAGCTTGACCTCAGAGCTGACCCAGCTTTGAGCAGGAGTTTGAACAAGAGGCCTCCTAAGGTCCCTTCCAACTTGAATTATCCTGTGATGCTGTGAAATGAGGGTCAGAGCTGGAGGAGAAAAACTGAAGGCTTTCTATTAAAAACGCAGAGACCTGAGAGGGTTTTTCTGCCTGGAGCGTTTCCTAATGCCTTGGTAACGTCTTCTTGTCCTTCCCATAATCATCACTGTGGGCACTCCAGGCTTACCTGAAGAGCTCTGATCTCTCGGGGTGGGGGGTGGGGGGCCGAAGGAGAAAATCCCTGGCATTCATTTGATGTGGAACTGCTTACATCCTGTAACAGACAGAAGGTGAGAATCCATGTGACTAATTAGTTGTTTACTTGGCTTTTGTATCCCTCCCCCCCAGGAGCTTGGGCTGTGTTTGTTTTGGTATGTATTGATCTCAGATTCCTGCAAATGCCATTGCTTTGTCCTTCACCTTCTGAGCAGTTTATTCCATGCCGCTAATCCCAGTTTCTAAGTGCTACAGGAAGGGTAGGGTATGGTAGCTAGGATGCGGAATGCCACTTCTTGTTTTTTTTTCCATTTCCCCATACAATATCTGTACATTTTTAGCCAGGACCTGTAATTTCTCTGAGTTTGGACCCAGACCCCATTTGGAGAGCTGAGGTCCCCTTAGAAACAACTGTGAAAGCTGCCATTATTGTTATATTTAGGTTGCCTAGAAAAGTAGTTTTATTTTGGGGGAGTAGAGTGTCTCTCTGCAGTTTCCGGATACCTAAACTCATGGAAAACAGGCGGAAAAATAGGATTTGTTTTTAGTGTTGGATTTG